CACTGGGCTAGCTCGCGCCGAGGCGTTTGCGCGCCTTCGGCGCGAGGAGGCGCTGGGTGAAGGGAAGGGGCCGCAGGGGAGCGGCGCCGGCTGCGAGCCCTCAGAAATGGGGCGCGGGGACGGTCCGGTACCCTCGCAAAGGCTCTTTTGTGCCCTGAGTGCCGGTGGAAGGGGCCCTCGAGCGCGAATGAGCTTCGGCCGGTGGCAGCTTGAAGGCAGCGAGGGAGCGAGCCCGGTGGAACGAGCGAAAATAAGACGTTTGTAGTGGTAAAACTGGACGGAGCGCTTGAAGAGGGTGCGTGGATGGAGGGTCTCGTTTGAACAAAGCAGGGCTGTGGAAAAACTGCTCTTGAAGATGGTATCTGAAGGGGAAAAAAAAAAAACAACTTTCCAAACTGCCTTTTTCCCCTAGGTGCTTCGTAAAGTAACTTGTAAAGGCAGCCTTCAGGAATACAAAGCGTGTTTGTGTTCTCTGAAGCCGATCTGATCGTGCGGTCTTGATCAGTTCCGAGTGAATGATGGGGCTGGGTGATGTGGTGGCCCTGTGAGAGCAAGATAGATGTCTTCAGTGTTGTATTCATTGCGTTTGTACTAAAAAGAACAAAACTGCCTGATTAGCAGCAGAAACCATGATATTTTAGTTCTTCTGTATTAACAGCAATCTTGGGTTTTTTACATTTAGAAGATATTTTTAGCTTGGTCTCCCATTTAGACTTTATCCTTAAAAAAACCCAAGCAAAATAGTACTGATCAAAAGAAAGCAGTGTGATGAAGCCCACTGTGAAGGTATCCAGCCTCATGTAAAAGTAAACATCAGTTGTTTCTAATGCAGGAAGAGTAAAGCAGGTTGTAACCACAGGCTAAACCTTTAATAGAATAGGTAGGATATTAAGCTGTGTATTAAAACAACAGCCTAATTAATATGTAATACCTGATGAACAACTCTGGAAAGTAAGATAGTATTCTCTGCTCAAGATGGTGGGTTACAAAGAGATTGTGGAAGGCTAAAGGGCTTTCTGAAATGACTTACTTGAGCATTATGTTAATCTAAACTTAAAATTACATGTGAACTTAGAGCTTTCATAAATTACTAAGGGCCGTGCAGTCTACAGAAGTGTAAGGAAAACCAGCTCTTCTAGTGTATGCTATCAAAAAAGGGCTAAGTAACTTGGTCGTCTATTGTTGTAACTAATTAGAAAAGCCTTTTTGGTTTGTATTTCCCTTTGATGTCCTCAGTGAATGTACTTTTCTTTCAGCTTTTTAGCTTTTGGGCAGTGTGTTTAAAACCTAGATGGCATATCCAGATTCTGCGTGTGTATTCATGTGTGTTTACTTTGTGCTTGCTGCCTCATTTATGTTTTAAACAGAATTGGGCAATCACAGAATGGCAGGGGTTGGAAGGGACCTCTGGGGATCATCTGGTCCAGCCCCCCTGCCGAGGCAGGGTCACCTAGAGCAGGCTGCACAGGACCTTGTCGGGGTGGGTTTTGAATGTCTCCAGAGAAGGAGACTCCACAGCCTCTCTGGGCAGTGTGTTCCAGTGCTCTGTTATAATAATGTTCTGAATCTGCAGAATACACCCATTCTTCCTTACCATTCCATTTGAGGCATGCGACTTGGAAATATATTTACTGTGGTAAAGATTGCAGTGGCTTTTCAGTGTGTCATCTCCTGGTACACTGATGAAACTCGTCATTTAAATTAAGTCTTCTGAAGAACTCTACTGGCAACTCTACTATCTGTATGTGTGCATGTATTGTAGGAACAGGTATGGTCTTGGTACATCAAAATATGTCATGGGTGTCTTTGAAATGCAAGCACTTGTTGCCGAAAGATCCTTTGCTGGGACTAGTATGTAAAGACTTTTATATAAAATTTTAATTTCTACCTTAACTATTTGGTCATTTTGGGAATCAAGACTGGGGTAGAAAATGGCAATGCTGGCTTGCTTCCGTGGCTGGTTTAGTACTTGCTGTCAGGAGCACCTTGCAAATCTGAATCTTTATGAATTTATTAAAATTATCATACTGACAGTTAAGAGGAAGCTCTTGAAATGTTGATATATAAATTGTGTGAGAATTTTGGGTTTTTGTTGGTTATTTAAATTCTATGTTCTTAACACCTAGACTGAAGCAGTGACACATCCTGAGGTGCTCATACTAGGCGATTGATTTACGAGATCTTTTGGGCCAGTACACTGCCAACAGCATTAATCAATTCTTTTGATGGACCACCTGCAACATTAACCTTTTGGAGGTTAGTTATGTATGTGTAAATAAAGGGGGTTTATACATAATTAAAGCCTGGAAATAGTGTTCTGATGCTGATCCAGAAGCAATAGTGGGAGAGTAATATAAGCTTTGCAGGCTCTGCAGTGTTACTGTATTTAAGTGAGCGGTTCCACATCAAGACCCTGGAGCATGTTGTACAGTTAGGCTACTCGCCACAACTAGTTTCTAGTCAGCACTGGCTTTGAGATCAGTAACACAGATCTTAATCAAAAAAAATAGTTTTAGTCTCCTGTGTAACATTGACTTGTGACTCATTTCTAATTGTAACTTAGACAAATACAGTTTCCAAATCAAATATCTCAGCCTTTTGATTTTCTAGGTTCTCTTGCAACTCTGTCTTGCTTAGTCAATACTGTTTTAAATATCTGCTTGCTTTTAGTTTCTTGTTAGAAGTTATGAAATTGCGGTTCTAATAAAAGTTACAATGTTAAGGATCATAACTAATGCTGTAAGTCTTGAACCCATGACCTCTATATCCTGTTGAAGTGTCTCACTTACTGGCTTCTCCAGTAAGGTAATAAACTGTCAGCTGTCATCTTGTTGATGTGTTTAATTCTTTTCACAAAACCCAGCATAAAACATCACATAAGTAAGGCACTCGGATGCATCATCTTTCCTCTTGGGAGAGAAGGAGTAAACATACACTTAACAAATGTTCATCATCTCAATTAACAGGGGAGTACTCATCAGTTAATACCTCATCAAGTTATAAAGGCCTATTCAGGATGAGCTGGTACCCAAAAAATCAAATGCTCTAAGCTGTAACTAGGTGCCAGCATAAAATAATCTTCATTCTTACTCCCTTTTGTCTACTTCTTGACCCAACAATACATTGATTCACTATAGTACGCACAAAGATCATCCTTTTGCTGCTAAAAGTGGCTTTTCCCAAGTTCAGCAGTCACAAAGTGCAGTATTCTTTGCCTGTTGAAGTTGATGCAGTTTAATCATAAATGAAGTCATCTTACTTAAATTTGCTGATGGAAAGTGTTGTTGGCTATGTCTTTTCATACTACTACTCCATACAGTCTACTGTGGAGTGCTTCGTGGCTGTAATCAAAGATGGACAGCTGCTTTTGGTATTTGGGCCAAATTCCTTTGGTAGTAATTATGGCTGACTTCCAGTTTCTCATTTTAATATGATTATGAGCATATTTTTCACTTCCTGTCATACAGCTGTTAATCATCTCTATTGCCCTATGCAGCTGTCCAAATTCTACGCAGTTGCAGATTATCTGCCTGGGAGGCAGTTTCTTTACATAGAAGTGCTATGAAGCCTGACACTTCTGTATTACCTGTCATGTCTGCTGAACGTGATGTTAGAGGCTCAGTTACCATTTGACAACAGAAAACCCATCCACCCTCACCCTAGGAGGAGTATTTTTGGGGTCTGTGCTATTGTCAACCTGATTCTGAGTGAAGACCCACCAAAAGCAGCAGTCCAGACTTCTAGCTAGACCCTGTCAGAATTGTAGTATTCTGAATTATTTGCCTGTTCTTCCCCGTTGCTTCAGAATTGTTACACTCAGTGAAGTCTGTTTGTGGAAGGAAGCTAATTGCTAAACATCACTTGTTGGTGAAGTCAGATGGGGGATGGTAACATGAGATGCCTTTATGGATGTTGAGAACTTCCAAAATTCTGACAACAAGCAACTTTGGGGGTTATTATGGGTATTCTTTTATTTTTTAAATATAGCCAATTTACAGACTATTTCTAACATAACCCTTAAGGTACAAAACAGCAGAAGATACAAAACTTTCTTGCATTACAGGTGTAGTTTGTTAATAACTATGATTATTCATGTCAAGCCAGATCCTTTCCGCAACACCTGTTTAACAAAGGCAACTACTTGTTCTTCATTCACAATGTAATGATCAGTATCTGACTTTTGAGAAACAAACAAAAAGAAAAGTAAGTGCCAGTTTTATGGGAAATGTGTTTGCCTTTCCAGGTCTTGTTTACCATAGCAGCTAAAGTGAATCAGAATGCCTCTCAATGATGACCAGAACAGTGATTCAGATTCTTCACGCCTGTCTGAAAGCACATCTTCTTCTAGCGACTCTGAATATTCAAGACAAAGCTTTAACAGTGATTCTTCAAGCAAACCGAGTTCCCCAGCATGTAAGCCTATTTCAACCTTACCTGCATTGTGCATAGACAGATAAGGCTAACTTACCTTGTTTCTCTTTGCTGTCTTGGGTAGAACCTGGGATTCTGAATCTCTGTTTAAGAGTATTAAGAGAAAGGCATGGCTTTCTCTGCTATGGAGCAGCACATCTCCTTGTGTGTGGAACATCACCAGCAGCTGTATCCGTGGGGGGTCTCTCTGTGCACTCCTTCCCTTCAGAAAGTGTAAGAAAAGTGTGCCACCATGGACAATCCTAATCTTGATGTTGGTAGCAGTCCCCCACTCAACTAGATCCAGCTTTGTGCAAAGGGTGGATTTCTTCTGTTTGCTCCATACACTTAAATCTGTAACATACAGATTTACGATATTACATCAAGTTACGTGAAATGAATCTCAAATTCACATTTTTTCTTTCATAATTATAAAGATCAAACAGAAGACACATTTGCACAAGGAAGGTATTTTGAGTAGAGGTGAATAAAACCTTGGTTAAGATGTGCTTTGTGTTCATGTCTGTAAGCATTCTCAGGCCATTCATACTTCTTAAAGTCTAAATGTGAAGTCTTACATCAAAACAAACTTGTTAGTGGAGCTGCAATTGGCAGCTGGCTTTTTGTCTTTATTACCAGTCTTCAAAGGCTTAATTCCAAATACTAAATTAAATGATAGAATTTGGGGATTTAGAAACTTTGGGAATGGACTCTTGCTTTCCAATGTAGAGTTTCTGTTACATTGTTAATACTTGTAAAAAGGGAGTGTAACTTAAGAGTGCATCTGCTGTGGAACATAAATGGGAGGTTCTCAAGTCAGTAACTTCAGAACTGTCTCTACAGGCAATAAAACCACAATATGGCCATTATGTGCGCGGAATTGTAATGGACATCTGGTGTCTGTAATTGCCCATGTTTTTGGTCTGCTGGATTTTACAGAACAGTCAATAGGAAATCTGTGGAATGCAAGATGGTGTTTTAAAGGAACAATATCTTAAGATGCAGAAATACAAAATTGCTTTTCAAAATGTTATGAAGCTTGTGTGGTATTACCCCCACACACACCCCTGATAAGCTGGGAGTTTCCTGAGTTAGTGTTGTAAGAAGATATCAAGACCTGGTAATCCTAGTCTGTTTCTTCTCTAGTAAGAGTCCAATTAGCAAGCAGTAAAACTTTTACATTTTAATATTTGCAGCTGCAGCTAACTATCTATATTTGGCTTGAATGGATCTTGTTTGTTGCAGCAGCAAGCCCTCCGAAGACTATTACATTTGATGAACTGATGGCAGCTGCAAAAAATTTGACAGACTGGACTCTAGCTCATGAAATTGCTGTAAATACAAATTTTTGCATAAAACATGACTTACCACAGAACAGGTAAGACCCTGAATTTTGGAAAAAGCTGCACTGGGGTTGGGAAGAGAGGAGAAATGAATGGAGCAGCAAATTAAAAAAATAAGCAAGAAACAACCAACCGAACCCAAACAAACAAAAACCCCAAACCAAAACATCTTGGAAGGCTACAGTTTTTTATCCTGCACTTGCAGGAGTCACTGTCAAAGCCATCTTGCTTGGAACAAGTATTGCAGTCCAGTTGAGTCAATATGCTGTCTTGGAGCATATTGCTCTGTCTTGATTGTCATATGGAAGATAAAAGGCTAATGCGAGATGAGTGCTGATAGTGAAGATGAGTATTGGTTTGTTCTGTGCAGTTCCAAGCCCTGTGGAAAAGGTGAAATGGTGGCCTTCTGTGCAGTTGTATGTAGTAGCTCATTGGTGCCATAGTGATAAGAAGACAGAGCTGCTCATAAACATAGTTATACTAAAAACCCCAGAAGAGGTGCAAAAATAACCTGGAGATCCAGAAGTAGTGACAAGTAACTTCCCTAATGTAGGTAGGTAAAATGTTATTCCTTACAGACGTGTCTAACTTAGAAATGACCCTGGTCTCTACTTTGAGAAAACTTATGTAAAAACCAAGCAGGTTTTGAATTGCACAAATCCCTTTACTGGTTAAATGACAGAGAACAGGTGTACTGCATCAGTACAGGCTTGGGGCGGACCTGCTAGAGAGCAGCTCTGTGGAAAAGGACTTGGGTGTGCTGGTGGGCGACAGGTTGACCATGAGCCAGCAGTGTGCCCTGGTTGCCAAGAAGGCCAATGGGATCCTGGGGTGCATTAAAAGGAGTGTGGCCAGCAGGTCGAGGGAGGTTCTCCTTCCCCTCTACACTGCCCTAGTGAGGCCTCATCTGGAGTACTGCGTCCAGGTCTGCGCTCCCCAGCTCAAGAAAGATGAGGAGCTACTTGAGAGAGTCCAGCAGAGGGCTACGAGGATGAGGGGACTGGAGCATCTCTCCTACGAGGAAAGGCTGAGGGAGCTGGGCTTGTTCAGCCTAAAGAAGAGAAGGCTGCGAGGGGACCTAATAAATATTTATAAACATCTCAAGGCTGGGTGTCAGGAGGATGGGGCCAGACTCTTTTCAGTAGTGCCCAGCAACAGGACAAGGGGCAC